AATTTGTGCCTAAAGCTGCCCATACACCTATAGATTATGATAGAAGAATATCCCACTGGGCCAAGCTTCAGTATCTTGCTAGTCGGCCCCGCTGACTGTCAAAATACCTGAACAATCTGATTTAGATGTAGCCATTGTTCAGGTATTTTGAGAAGCAGCGGGGCTGACTAGCAAGATACTGAAGCTTGGCCCAGCTAGAGATTCCTCCATCCACACAGTTTAGTGTAGATGGAGGAATCTGTTGCACTTTTTCCATCTGACCATAGAAAATCTGCAGATAAACTAGAGGTGTATGGCCAGCTTAAAGGAGAACTATGAGGTGAGTGCTTTTTCACTCACCTCATACTTCTAGCCGACCTGTGACAATGAGACCGTCACAGGTCGGCTTAGTAGATCGGGAGGTGAGCGAACACATACTGGCGTTCGCTCACCTCTCCATCCTGTCACGGCTCTCTGCTGTGACAGGGGAGGGGCTGGATTCCCCCCTCTCCTCTCCGATCCGCCAGCGCTGAATGGCGGAACGGACAGGGGAGGGGGCGGGTACAGTTGGGTCTGCCTCTAGATAGGCAGAGGATTATTGTCGGGATCCACTTCAGCGTCTCGCCCCATAGTTCTCCTTTTAAGAACTTAACCCCATAGTTCTCCTTTTAAGAAGCCTGTCTATTGATATTACTTCTAGGCTTAAAGGAGAACTATGGGGTTAAGGCGTTTCCCCATAGTTCTCAGGGTAACGGGAGGACACAAACTAGCGTCCTCCCGTCACCCTAGGCTCAGTATACCGCAAGCTGTAGCTCGCGGTATACTGAGACGCTGAAGCGGATCCCGACAATTATGTCTGGATCTGCCCAGCTGCGTGACTGACAGCTGGCTCTGCCTATCTAGAGGCAGAGCCAGCTGTACCCGCCCCCATCCGTACTGCCAGTCAGCGCTGGCGGGGAGGGGGAATCCAGCCCCTCCCCTGTCACGGCAGAGAGCCGTGACAGGATCGAGAGGTGAGCGAACGCCGGTATGTGTTCACTCACCTCCCGATCTACTAAGCCGACCTGTGACAGTCTCATTGTTACAGGTCGGCTACAACTATGAGGTGAGTGAAAAGCACTCACCTCATAGTTCTCCTTTTTTAAGGATACAATTTCTCTCCTTATTGATGCAATACGCACATGCCTAGAGCTAGAGTGGGCCTGCATCCTCCCCCAAAAGCACACAGCCTGCCAAAACTGTCCCAGTACACTCTCTGCCGAAACCTGTTTTGTACGTTGACTGGCCTAGTACAGATAATAATCTTCACTCCTCCTGAAGTGTTTTGCCCAGCAATACCCAATTAAGTTTGAATTCCTTAAGAAGTGGGCCTTTCCCATTGTGGATCTGGTCATGCAGAACTCTGTCCCTGTCAAGGACATTGCAGTGTTTAAAGATTCTGTGGATAAGACTGAAAGCCCTTTGCAAGGCCTTATTTTCAATAGCAGACCTTTTATCCTGAAAACGGTAATTGTTGTCCTGTCCATTTGCCAGACCATGGGTGTATGGTCCAAGGATATGTCTCAAGTTCCCTGTTCAATCCTTACTAATCATTCAGTTCGTCAACGATTGAAACTTTTGCCTGTTGCCCTGCACTACTGTGTTTTGAAGGGCTTGTGGATAACGTGCCCTGATATTAAAATGGTCCTTGTGTCTGTACATATGTGGTTGATCCTTTGGCTTAAATCCTTGTCTGTGGAACATCCGTGTAAAAATAAACCCCACCCTTTTCCCCCCCCGCAAAAGAAGGCTAATCCTTAGACTGGAAAAATTCTACATAAGAAGCAAAGAAGAGTTCCTTTTTGCTTTTCCCAGTTCTCAAGGTTAAGCCTGTAACTCACTTCCACCACAAGCTTTGGACTCCCAAAGGCTTGTGAGCAAGTCCTGTTGGCCTTTGCTACCACCAGGACTGGACCAATATCTGGTACGCATGGATAACCGATCCAGGGACTACGAGCTAAGAGTTCCTAACTCTAACTCCACCCCAAGCCTGCCAACAACCCTGAAAAAGAGGAGCACAGCTCTATGCTGCTCTAACACAACTCCTCGGTCAGGGATTCGTAGCCATGGTCCTGGAAAAAAAGTTTCCAGTTTTCTACTCAAGCCATACTAACTTCCAAGGCAAAAGGTGGTGCTTTGCCCCATTCTTGATCTAAAGGCTCTCAATGTCTTTATTTTAGGCCAAAAATTCTGCATGGAATCCATCAAGTCATTACTTGACTCCGTCTGGGAACATTTGTGGCCTCTGTGGACATAAGGGATGCCTACTTGTTTTTCCATATCCTTTTGAGCACATCAATGTTACCTGCGTTTTGTGGTGGGCAAGAAACACTACCAGTTTGTTGGTCTTTCCTTCAGTCTGTCAACAGCACCTTAGGTCTTCGCCAAAGTGCTAGATCAGTGGTGGCAAACCTTGGCACTCCAGCTGTCTTGGAACTACAAATCCCATGAGGCATTGCACGGCTCTGACAGCCACAGACATAACACCCAGATGCATGTTGGGATTTGTAGTTTTGGCACACCTGGAGTGCCAAGGTTCGCCACCACTGTGCTAGATCCTGTACTTGCTCTGTTTTTTTCCACAGGGAAATCTTGTTAGTGGGATACCTGGACCACTTTCTTCCCTGTTTGAGGGAACAGTCTGCCGTTTTTTTTGTTTTTTTTTTCTGCAGGGGGGTTGGATAAGCCCCGAACCTTGGGAAATCAGTGTTGGATCCAATTCATTGCTTGGAGTTTCTAGGTCTCCTAGTTGATAGTAAGAAGCTTATGGCTCTTTGCTCCCAGGTTTGGACTCTGCAGTATAAGTGCTGGCCCACCGTCCGCTTTTGCATAAGTGTTCTTGGCTTGATGGTTGCTCCTTCGAGGCAGTTTTGTATGCCCATTCCACTCCAGACCATTGCAAATCAAAACCAAAGAGGCAGTCACTGGACAGTAATATGTGCCTGATACCCTGGCCTCGTGGCTCACAAATCCATCCCTGGAGACAGAAATCCTTCCGTCGGTCTGGAAAATCCTTGAAAAACACTCCAGCCTGTAAGGCTGGCGAGGAGTCCAGGACACCCTTTTGGTGTGGGGGACTTTGTCCCATAGGAATTGTATCTTTCACTTATTATACTGGAAATCGGTTATACCTTTGACGCTGGACATCGTGATTGAGAGATCATCTGACTCCTATTTAGTTGGGCAGTGCCAGAAAGGTGGCGTATGTCAACCATTAGGGAAAAAAAACGAAGTCTCACACAGTCAAAGAGACTGACCAGATTTTGGCTTGGGCAGAACTCATCGTTTTAGCCCTACCCACTGCACATTTCAGGAGTAGAAAATTGCCAGGCGGACATTCTCATCCATTAATATCTAGATGCCAGAGAATGGTTTCTTCAACCGGCATATCAGTGGATGCCCTGGTGGAGTTCAACCTGATCTACTCCCCCCAGTAGTCCCATACTAATTGCTTTAATCAGTCATCTGGGGCATAGTGTGTAAGTGGTTAGCTCTCAGAAATGTTAGTACATTAAGCATTGTTCCTTCATGACCAAATCATGATAAATCAACCAGAGGGATTGTGTTGCTTCAGAGTTCTGTCTGTAGCCTAGATGGCCTGCATCTGTTTCAGAATATTGTAGGATCACTTTAAAGACTCATGTCGTCTTTCTCCTGCACCAACGTTCTAAACAAGCCATAAGACCACCACTGGCTGCACATATACTTTTGGGAATGTTCCATCTTCTGAGCCAGAGCCATGCATGGGTTTAGGCTGTGATTAACTGTTTGATCAAAATCTGTCACTTTGTGCCTCTACTTGAACACAGATCCTGGAAGCAGTGCTCTGCACGCAAGTAGAAGATAAAAGCTCCTGACAGGTATGTCAGCTATTGGTGCACTTGTTTCTGGTTTAGGTTGGGGGTTTGCAGGGAGAAGAAAATGTGTCTATCCACACTATCTGATTGTGTGATCTTGTTCTAGTTTTTACGAACATCTGTGTACTGCAAGGGGTTAGTTGATCGGATATAAATGTATTGGATTTGGGTAGTCCTTGCACTACAAAACTTGCTAAATCTGAAGGACATTGTTTTGTCATTAGCAGATTGTTTGGCCAGAGTTGAGCTTCCAAGTCTGCTTTACACTGAGATTATGTTCACAAAATAAAATTTTGAAAACTTGTAAGGCTCAAACAACTAATTGATTTAATGAGAATCGTTGTCAGCGATTCTCATTGATTAGTTGGTCTGGATTGCCTGCTTCTCTCAACCGCACTGGGAGCCGGTTGTTTGTTGACTCTGTATCCCCGCTGCTCTCAGTATCAAATCTATTAGACAGGCAACCCAATGCATAGGGCATTATTAAAGTGCATGCACTGCCACATGGCACTACTTTTATAGTAGACTAATATTTTTAGTTTACTTTTATATAGACTGTTGAGATAATTGACTTGTAAAGGGCCATTAATCGCAATGGTACTGTGGCAGTGTCATGTAGCTCGTCTTGAAACCCCCTGTACCTAGTAAGGTGAATAGTGCTACCCTGTTTAATAGTACAGTGGTAATGACTGGTGCTCTTTATAGATATTAGGGGTCTACATTTTGCAGCTCAACATTTTTTTCTTGGCAAAGGATACATTTTAGCACTTTCCTACACTGCCCAAAATGTAAAATACTTGCTCTTTAGGGAAACCTTTCAAGACTCCTTACCCTTTTGCCCCAATCTCCCTCATCTTAACTAGACACTGTAGAACCCCCATGAACTGCGAGATGCCCACAGAAATCTATAGTGTTCTACTGTGCGTGCACAGATATCGGGAAGAAGCCAATATTCAAAATGTAAAGGTAGGTAGTTATGCAGAGGTTTTATGGAGGTGGGGGTCTAGTGGAGTTGATTGGGGTTGGATAAAAAGGTAAGGCGGCTTTGAAAAATTCCTTACCGGTTGGAATTTGTGAAAAGATGGCCATACGGTAACACTTTTTTTTTTTTTTCATTTCCCACAGGTAGAGGGGGGCAATCTGCATTGCGTTTTGCACGTCTAAGAATGGAAAAGCGCCACAACTATGTCAGAAAAGTGGCAGAAACAGCTGTACAGCTCTTTATTTCTGGTGATAAAGTAAACGTAGCTGGACTTGTGTTGGCTGGGTCAGCTGACTTCAAAACAGAGCTCAGTCAATCGGACATGTTTGATCAGGTGAGGTTTTTGCTTTAAAGTATCTTATATGTACTTATCTGATAATGATGTAATGATTTGCTATAGTCCTAATCTGGAATATAGCAAATTGTTTTTTTTTTCCAGCACTTTAAGAGCCAAGTGCAGATGGCTACCTTAGAGGCCACCCAAGCTCAGCCTGTATAGTTTTGCACAGTTTAAAACATAGAACTTTGTCCTATTGGAATTCTTTGCAATGCACCCTGCAAAATAAAAAGCAAAACATTCAAACCAGAGGACCACTGCTCTAAGGTTTCCGTGCACCCTTTAACCCCTTCCCATCTGCATTCTTTATATTAACATTTTTCAGCATGTTGCCCAGTGCTGAGGACATATTAATCAACACCCTCCTTTTGACAGCTACAGCTGATATTTAGTGCAGCCATCAGTGACGGCTGGATTTGACAGCTAGCAGACAGTGTCCCCACTTCAGTCAGGAGCCAAATAGTGGTTCCTGATCATGTCATCATTGAATTGGTGATCACATGCAAGCTGAAGGTATTGCGAAAATGGTTTCAGCATGCAGAAGCGACTGCAGCCAATAGATGTCAGGGTGCCGCTGTTTAATCATATCGGGCAATTGGGCCCCGTTCACACCAAGGCATTTTGTTGCAGCTAATTCAGCGCGACAAAACGCTTAACCCCAGGAATCCCTTTCTTTTCTATGGCCATGGTCTGGAGATCTACTTTTCAAATAACGAGCTCAATGATATCTACCAACGAAAAAACACCTGCATTCAGGGGTGGGAGGGGGCTTGGCGGTGCATTGAAGTAAATGGCACCGCAAGCAGGCCCCTTGCTCACAGTGCGATTGCCTGCACCCGGAACCCAGGCACATTAGTGCCTGCGTTCCAGTCCAGTGCGATCCGCAAAAATGCTGCAAGCACTATTTTTGCAGATCACAATAGACCGGAATGCAGGCACTAATGTGCCTGCGTTCCGGGTGCGGGCGCTCACACTGTGGGCGGGGGGCATTGCTGCAGTGCCCTTGACTTCAATACAACCCCACACCCCCTCCCGCCCCTGAACGTAGGGAGTCGGCCAACTTGCATGCCAATACGTCCTAGGGGCCCGGCCTCCTGTCCTCCCGTGGTGCTTGTGTGGCCGACGTTGCACATGGGGGGAGGTGTCCTGCCCCTTTCCATCTGCAGCGTCTGACGCATTCAGCTGGCAGACGCACGGGCACCGCGGGAGCATAGCCGTAGCCAGCTCCTTTTGTGCCCGAGGCAAGAAAAAAAACGTTCCCCACCCCCAACAGGCATGTGATGTCACCCAGCGCCCGGCCTCCAGGATTTTTTTCATTTTATTTGTATTATTTCTAAATTTTTCATTTTTTTTATTTGCATTTAACTCATGTGTACCGATCCTCTGCCGCTCCGCCACGCACATGGATTCCCCTGCTCTCCCGGGCAGAGGCATCGGGTGATGCGGCGAGTAGTGAAAGAAGCGCTTCAGCCGGGGGGGGGGATAGGTGGTTGCGGATGACGGAGCCGCTGTCACAGAACTAAGGGGGGAGAGAACCTGGGCGAGCATCTTTCTCCTCACCGCTCAGCCTTAGTTCTGTGACAGCAGCTCTGTCTGCCGCTGGCTGCAGAGGTTCCTTCAGCAGCGGGGATCCAGGGAAGCCCGACGGGCGGCGGGAGGAAAGGACAATCGTGATCGACTGGTAGATCGCGATTGACCTTATGGGCACCCCTGCAGTACCACATAATGACAAAGTGAAAACAGAATTGTAGAAATGTCTGAATTTATTAAAAAGAAAAAAAATGAAATCTCATATGTACTTAAGTATTCAGACCCTTTACTTCACCTTTGGGCAGCAATTACAGCCTTGAGTCTTTTTGGGTATAGCGACAAGCATTGCACATCTGGATTGGGGGATTTTCTGCCATTCTTTACAAATCCTCTCCTAAGTCAGGTTGGAGGGGAATCATCGGTGGACAGCCATTTTCAGGTCTCTCCAGAGATGTTCAAGCCAGTGCTCTGACTGAGCCACTCTAGGACATTTACAGAGTAGTCCCCTAGGCACTCCTGTGTTGTCTTGGCTGTGTGCTTAGGATCGTTGTCATGTTGAAAGGTGAACCCTCGGCCCAGTCTGAGGTCCTGAGCGCTGTGGAACAGGCTCCATTCAGCTTTCCTTTTAACCCTGACCAGTCTCCCAGTCCCTGCTGCTGAAAAGCACCCCAAAGCATGATGTTGAACAGGTGATGAACGGTGCCTGGTTTCCTTCAGACATAACGTTTAGAATTGAGGTCAAACGGTTCAATCTTGGTTCTACATGACCAGAGAATTATGTTATTCCGTGTCCTTCAGGTGCTTTTTTTATTTTATTTTTTTGCTGACTCCAATCGGGTTTTCATGTGTTTTGCACTGGAGAGGCGCTTCCGTCTAGCGACTCTGCCATAAAGGCCAGATCAGTGAAGGGCTGTAGTGATGGTTGTCCTGGAACTTCACACAGGATCTCCGGAGCTCAGTCCGTGACCATCGTTTTCTTGGTCACCTCTTACTAAGGCCCTTCTCCCCCAATTGCTCAGTTTGGATGGGCGACCAGCTCTCGGAAGGGTCCTGGTTGTGCCAAATGTCTTCCATTTGAGAGTAATGGAGGCCACTGTGCTCTTAGGAGCCTTCAGTATAGCAGAAATGTTTCTGTAGCCTTCCTGTCTCTGAGCTCTGCAGGCAGTTTCACGACCTCATGGCTTTTTTGTTCTGATTAAAGTATGCATTGTCAGCTGTGAGTCCTTCTATAGAGAGGTGTGTGCCTTTCTGAATCATGTCCAATCAAGGTAATTTACCACAAGTGGACTCCATTCAAGGTGTAGAAATATCTCGGCAACGATCAAGAGAAATCTGAGGCACCTGAGCTAAATTTCCAGTGGTGTTGCAAAGGGTCTGAATACTTATGCCAATGTGATATTTCAGTTTTTTTCCTTTTTAACCTCTTGCCGTCCACCCGTAAGAATAAATGGACGGACGGCAGACTCGCATCCGCTGGTTGCCGTCCTCAGACGGCATTTTTTTTCCTGCTCGCGCGCGCGCCCCCTAGTGCACGGGCAGGAAAGACCCGAATGTTACTACAGCCGTTAAATGCTGTTTCACATACAACCGATCAGCGGCTCTATAGCCGCCGATCGGTTGTATGGCGTGCATTTCGGAGCGCCCCCCATCTCGAGTGCCGTCATCTCCCCCCTCCTGACCCCTCACCTTTTAATCCCGGGATCCGCTAGCCCATCTGCGGCCCGGGACCGGCTCGGGAGGATTCAGACATTTCTAAAATTCTGTTTTAACTTTGACATTATGGGGTACTGAGTGTAGATTAATGAGAGAGAAAAAAAGAATTTAAACAACCGTAGTATCGGGCTGCAACATAACAAAATTGAAAAAAAAGTGAAGGGGGTCTGAATACTTTTCTGAATGCACTGTATGCTGATTGCAAGGTTGAAAGGTGGCCATACACTGTACAACCATCGCAAGACCTTAGTCTTGCGATGGTTGTAAAGTGATTAAAAAAAACGTACGATCTGCCCATCTTGGACATGCAGATCGTACTCTCGATCATCGCAAGCCCGTCCCCCTGAGGGGCGGGCTTCCGATGACCGCAATGCTGAACGGGCAGTGTGCGCATGCGCACACCGGCCCGTTCGGCATTTGTCTCCCGAGCATGCTAAAAACCAGCCGAAAATCTTACGATTTTCGGCTGGTTTTCTAGCGCGCTCCTTAGAGAAAAGACGTGCGACTGTACAGTAGAAGCGGTTGCACGTCTTCGTTCACACTGCTCTATTCTCGTACGATCGCGGGATTTGCCGCGATTCTCGTACGAGAATCGAGCAGTGTATGGGCACCTGAAGTCAGCACTGGCAGCCCTCTCGGTACCCAGCACTGGCAGCCCTCTTGGTACCCAGCAGTGAATTGGTAGCCAGAGGCTTTGATATATAGCCTTCCTGATCTAAATTGGTAACTAGAGCACTGCAGTGTTTTTGGTTTCTACTCATGGGGAGAAAGGCACGTTTATGCTCTAAGGTGATTTGATGCAGTCTTATGTTATATACAGACTTGTATTTTTAAATACAGCTACATACTTGGAGGTGACTGTCGGTATCTTTTTTTAATTCCCTGTACAGTGGAAGTCGTACCTAAGCTGACCATCCCTAAAGATCTCAATTATACAATTAATTTTACATTTTAAGCATGTGTTAATTTCCTTTTGGCATAGTGTGAAATACGAGACTAGGCTGAGGCTGCTCATATCAGCTACATTTCCAGTTCCCAGCTGCTTAGCTGGATCTGTGTACAGTGTCTGGCCTAAATGTCACCTTTTCAAGGTAAAAGTGGGATAACATTAAAAGCGTGCTTTTTAATACAAGCCTAACTGGACAATTAAGTATTATCTTATAAGCCTGCAACTATAAAACTTGTAACAATGTTTCATTTTTAGCGATTGCAATCTAAAGTCTTGAAATTAGTTGATATATCATATGGTGGAGAGAATGGCTTTAACCAAGCAATTGAATTATCAACGGAGGTCCTTTCAAATGTGAAATTTATCCAAGAGAAGAAACTAATAGGTATGTTTTTTAAAATGTATTTTAGTACATGAAAATGATGTCTGTTTTTTTATTGTATTTTTTTTCCCCTTGTATCTGGTGTCTGTGTGGCATAGGAAAGGGTGTCTCGTTCACCGAAGACCTATGCTCATCAGACCTATGCTCATCAGACCTATGCTCATCAGACCTATGCTCATCAGACCTATGCTCATCAGACCTATGCTCATCAGACCATCTGTCCTAAACAGCATATTGCTTGTGTAAAAATTTTCACTTGAGCAGTAGCTACCAGCCATTAGAGGCAGCATTGTGGTGTAATCTGTTCTGAATGCTCTGTGTCAAACTGATGCATAGATACAAGCCCAAAGCTCCACACAGGTATTTACTACTGGGCAATCCAGTGATCAGTGTTGAGAGCAGTGTCTTTACCCATATGCATATCTTTGAGAAAAGGGGTATGCTATAAACTAGGGATGCACAGGTGCCGATCCTGAGTATTTGGGCAAGTACTCGCCCAAATGCTCAGATACCTTCCCCTGATACCGGGGGAAATGGAGCCGGCTTCCCGGGCAATCGGGGTGGCGGGTAATTGCCTTGGAAGCCGGCTCCATGCTTATTGGCCGGCTTGATGCTGATTTGGCCCTGTTTTTTTTTGCCCAAGCAGTTAGTCATGTTTCCAAACAGCTGGCTCCAACTGTCGGAACTCTGCTTCCCTGAACTTCCTGCGGAGTACAAGGGACAGAGCAGTCTGCAACAGCAGCTGTCCTAGTACAAGCTTAGAGAGGAGGGAGCAGGGCGCACACAACTAGCTTGCCATCTTGTGCCTGTGGACACCGATTACTATTAAACAGAAGGGTGGCTCCACAGGACTCTGCAATGGAAAGTTGTCCTAAAACAGAACATTGATGCCAGTGCTAAGGGGGGACACACTGGGGGGGTGTCTTTAGCTGCCATTGTTCTGTGTTCAGCTTCTTGTTTCCCTGTTCCTTTAGGGAGAAATGGGCTACCTCCAGGCATACCTGGAGATGCTCAATTTATTAATTGCTATATATGCTCCATGATGGAGGCTCAACTAGTTTGGAGTTAAGACCACACTACACAGAGGAGCCTTAATGAGGCAGTGTGACATCCACATATTTTGCAAAGAATACAAGGCTTTTTGTGAATGGATAAGTGGGAGAGTGAGCAACTTTATTATACACTAGTCAGAACATTAAGTGTGAGCGGCGGAAGCTCATGTCGGGCAGTAGTATCATGCTGGAACTAAGCTAATTAAACATTTTCCCCTGGACGTAGTGGGCCAAGCTTCACGCATAACGTCTGTACCAATCACAGTTAAAGTACTTTTTTCTGGTGTTCCACTTTAACACTTTTTAATTCGCATTATAGAGGGCCCCCAACACTTCCAGAGAGCCACACGAAGCCAGTGCTTATGCTGTTTTTTTGCTGTTTTTTTTGTTTTTAAGTGTACCATATTGCACACAGGTGTAAGTGTCATTAACGTTAACTTCCTACATTGATGCCATTGGCTGCAATAATATCCCCCATCTTTGGTGTCAGTGGATGCAGCAATAGTCTGCATTAGTGTCAGTGACTGCAATAATAACCCAGCATTGGAGTCAGTAACACATTGGTAGCTAATGACAGTGATGTAAACCCTACTAATGCACTGGTGTTACTTGACTCCCCCTGCAAAAAATAAATGATACATGTGTTGCAGGGGAGGACACCGGATGTGAATTTTCAGTTGTGCCGGTTCAACAAGCCGGACATTTCTGTTGCAAGGGATCCCCAAGCAGTGGAAGCCTTAGTGACGTTATGGGATCATTTTCACCCAATCTACACCTTCCCTTTTCTGAAACTCTTTCCTCGCCTCTTATGCAGGATCATGGAAGGCATTCATCATTGCTCCCAACTGAATATGTCCCTGTACCAGGTCCTCCAGGGCAAAACTCCAGGCAGACACTCCATGGGCACTTGCAAATTGTCCAGACTTGCTGTCGCAAGGACCGGTATTCTACCCTGCCTCTTGGTCATTGGTTTTAATGGCAATGGCTGTTGACGTGCAAGTCGTGAGGGACAGAGGCCTTTGGGATGCAATTCTCTTTATGCTACTCAAGGCTAGGAAGTCTACCTCCAACAAGGTCATCTGGAAGGCATATTTGAATTGGTGCGAGGCCAGCAAGAGTCATTCCAGGAATGATAGCGTGGAACACATTTTAGCTTTCCTCCAGTCTGGTTTTGGTAGAGCATTTGGCTTTAATATCTGATCAGGTATCTGCTTTGGTAATTCTGTTCAGAGACTTCTTGCCTCTCACTCCTTAGTGAAGCCATTGTGTAGGGGGTGGCCTATCTTTCCCCTGTTCGTGCTTCAGTGACAAAGTTGAACTTCAATCTGGTCTTCGTGGCCCTTTAGAAACAGGCCTTTGAGCTGATCAGAGAACTTCTCCGGTCCTTACAAGGTGGCCTTTTTTTGTCACTATAACTTCTGCTAGACATGTTTTCTGATTTAGAAGCTTTGACATACAAGTTTTTAGTCATCCACAATAAAGTTTTGATGAGACCACTAAAGTGGTATCTGCCCTCTACCTTAACCAGGAAGTTGTTTTACTATCCTTGTGTACCAAAACACCCAAAACAAATTGTCCTCCACTGTTTGGATGTAGTTCAAGCAGTTAGTGCTTACGTCTCTGCAACAGCTGCTATTTGTAAATCCAGCTCACTGTTGGTCATCCCAGGGGGTCCCCGTATGGGGTATCCAGCCTTCCATTCCACTGTAGCTAGGTAGATTTAATCAGACAATTTCTCAGGTCTGAGCTTCTCCATATATCTTTCTCAATTATTAGTCACTTCTCACTCTACTGGGAGTGTTAGCGCTTCTTGGGTGTTTCAGCATCAGGTTTTTTTTTGTCTTTCTAGAATATTTTCTGGAGTACATCACAGTGCTGCTTGCTAAAACTGAGGCAGGCTGGAGTCAGAGTGGGGCTGCTACTTTGATTTGGTAGTCCTCAGTCCACTGAAGGTAGCTGCATAGCAAAGTAGCTTAAGAATTTAACTCAGTGTGTCCTGTGATGTACTCCCAAGAATAGGATTTTACAGGTCGTGTCCTCCCCATCCATATTTTGTTGGCTACTTTTTTCTGCATATAAATGTGTTTGTTTTTTAAATCAATAATGTTTATTTACAGGACGATACTTCGATGAGATTAGCCAGGACACGGGGAAGTATTGTTTCGGTGTTGAAGACACACTAAAAGCATTGGAAATGGGAGCTGTAGAAATTCTGATCGTTTATGAGAACTTGGATATCATGAGATACGTCTTGAGATGTAATGGTTCTGAAGGTTGGTTTTGCTCATTATAGTCTTCTGTAGTAAAGTTGATACACTGCACAGGTTTAAATGTTCAAATATAACATGGTGTTTATTATTTTTTCCTTTTAGAGGAGAAGACCCTCTATTTAACACCAGAGCAAGAAAAGGACAAATCACACTTCATTGACAAAGAGGTATGTGTTCAATAAGATGGTAATTTTATTGAAGTTTAAAAACCACATTATTTTGCTCTTAGTTCTGTTGGTACTTTATGCAGGGCTCAAGTGCTAAAAATAAGTGAGAAATTGGTGTTCAGCGTTGTCACTAGCTGACTGTAACACTTTTGTTTGGTTTTTTTAACCTAACTTGTAACTGAACTCTCAGATAAGAAATCCCTAAAATCTAATTCTAGAAAGGTATAGTGCTTTATTTCTCCATTTATGGTGCCTTTCACAGGCTGGGAACCGGGACACTATGGATCATGAGCTGTGGGTTTAGCGGACAGTCCGGAACCCGAAACAGACTTGTAACACAGGTCATGAAGAGTGACTGACTGGCTGCAGGGAGCCAGGGACAGGATGTTTACACAAGAAAAGTGGGTATGCCACAGGTGCAGGGTCTAAGGAGAGCCTGGACTTCTCCAGGGCCTCTAATGGCGAGGATGTTGTGCAGCAGGGCAGATGCCAGGTTGCGGCCCTACAACACACCCCACAGGCTGAAGTGCAATGAGAATAATGCAGGGGTAGAATTCAGTACAGCTCTGGGACACTGGATTTGATGAAGCATAGGACAAGAGAAGGTGCCCAAGAGGTGCTGGAAGGTTGCAGCAGGTGCACAAGGAAATACTTGATACAGGACACACTGGGCAATGGCAGATGCACAGGGGAGCGCATGCAGGAGACGTGCAGACACGGAGTCAAGTGACACAGGTAGATGTAAGGAATATGCTACACTGACGGGGCATAAGAAATGAGCATAACACAAGGAACATGCGTTATACAAAGGTACAGGGCAGGGAAGCAGATACACACACATGAACTGTGTGAACACAGAAGTAGGCTGTAAAGGAAATACAGATGGCGAGGCCTGAAGCCAGGCACGAGAGGGCTCCCAGGAAGTGAGGATGGCATACAGGAAGATACCCACAAGGATGACACAGTGCAAGGCAATGTGAAAACGGGTACACAGGAAACAATAGGAACTACCACAACAAGGAACACAGCACAGGTAGACAGCAGGGCAGATAGGGAAAGCAGGCACACTAAAGTGAATGGAGGGACACAGCAAGGCCACTCAGCAAGCAAGCAAGGCCACTCACACCACACTGGTGAATAAACCGCGATCATCATAGGAAATCACACAGGCAACAGCAAGGAGGGAAACAGCCAAGCAGGGAATCCACAAGGCACCTCGAGGAATCTAGGGGAACAAGGCATCCAGGAATAACTCTGGAAACTGAGGGAAATTACATACACAGGAGGGTCCAGCAGCAGGAAAAACTTGTTGCTCGAATGCTAAGCAATGAGTGAGCTGAACCTAAATAGGGGAGGAAAAGAGTAGATTGGCTGCAGCCCTGTGAATCCCCATAAGCTGACAGCCAAGGTACGTGATGAGAGAGAGCCGCTGTCATCCTGTTTCAGGATGACCGCAGCTGTGTGCGTGGCTGAGCAGAGGATCGATCGGTAAATCTGTGTAATATTTACAGATCCTCTGTATGCAGAACAAACACTTTTTGTAAACAAATGGGGGGCGCATAGTACTAGGTTTCCCCAGTTATGAACAGGAAGTGTTTTACATCACTTCTTGTTCATTCATGAGTTTCTCAATGGGTAGAAGCAGCTCAGTACAGAGGCTTCTACCCATTCATAACTGTTTGATGGTAAATATTTACTATCTCCAGTTTGTGACTGAATGGGAAGCCTCTGTACTGATGCTTTCCATTCATTTAGAGGCTGCAGGGAAAGATTGAGGACTATGTCCTCAATTTCTTTTTCTATTTCAAAAGGGAAATGTCTGGTCTGTTTATACCCCAGAGATTTTTACCAAAGCCCCCCAACGGTATAAAAATGTAATTTAAAAACACACACACGGCCTGCAACTGATTACTTTCATAATAGATTAGTTGGCAGATTTTTTTTTTTTTTATCGGATAAAAAAACAGAAACCATCTTTTATTCAAAGTATAATACACAAATGGAGTGTTGCAAATATAGTTTACTGTATGCACAATGTTTTTGCACTGAAACACATGGCATTGCAGTATCGCGTGTTCCAGTGTAGGTGATTACACTGCGGGCTGGAGGGGCACTTTGGGAATGGCATCACAATGCACTTCCCGGCGCAGAATTTTCAGGCCGAAACCAAAAATGCCGCTTACCACATATATTTTCGCAAAAAGGTGCAATTTAAAATTTAAACATTTGTTATTAACCCAGTACAGTTTTATCTTTCAATTTAGTTGGAAAAACACTTTTCCAACTAAATCTCATTGAATGCATTGATATTGATTTTAGTGTGCGATCAAATTGTGTATTTTTATTTTTTTATCGGTTTAATATTGATTTGATAAACATTTGCGCAATTATTGCCGGACTTACAAAATTGGTAGCACCATCTTTTTATTCTACTGTGCTTTCAGAAAATATATGGTTTTGGGGTCCTTTACAAACTCTAAAAGCTGCAGTTAAAAATAAAAGGGGTGAGAAATTTCAAAAATGGTGTGGCCAACTGAGGTTAAAAGCGTTTCAGAGGGCTTGGCAGCAAAAGGGTTAAACCCTTTGTGCTCTAGCAGCTGTTGGTTTTACATGCCGTTACCCCCATGGCTGTGATAGATATGTCGGAATAGTATCGACCAGGTAAACAAGCTCATGGCCACTCTAGCAATATATACTTCTCTTTTTTTTTTTTTTTTTACTGAGCTGTTGGCTTTTTAGGGCTGAGTGCTGATGTCATCCAATGTTTGTCCAGCTGCTGCTCCTGGTTTGCAAAAAGCCATTGGGAACTCCGATCGCCAGTTCATATCGGCTACCCTACTACCAGTGACTCTGGTCACCTCTGGCTATCCAGCCCTAATCAGTCACCAGTTGCCTCAGTTTGAGTACCAGAGGCCTTGCTCATACCATGTGCCTAGTTACATTACCACCAGGCAATTACAACATGTCCTGTATCGAGATACACAGGGGGCAGTTCTGCTACTACAAGTAACGCCCAATTTACACTTAACATTTCCGGGGCTTTTTACTCTGTACCCTTCAGATATGCAAACACTCAGCTGTGGGCGTGGCTAATTAGTTTAGTTGTTGGCTTCAAAAGTCCACAGCCTGTGTACCTCAGGTCTCTTGTTTGGACAGAAAGTTAACACCTTACCTTTTCTCTCAGGTGTGTTGGGGAACCTTCCTGTCAGGATTGTCTCCCTATATCTTTTATCTTTGGCTATTTCAACCCCTTCTCCCTGGTTATGGGTCTAGTTTCTGAGCAGTCTATTGTGTCTGTCTTTATGGACCAGGTAGTCCCTGGTGTGATCCTTTTATCCTCTTTAGGTGGATTATTTTCCTTTTTTATCTAGGGAGCTTTACGTATTGGGGAACCACTATTCCTGGGACTACAGTGGAGCCTTTCAAAGCTGGTGGTACCTTCCACACCAGGGGATCCTGCTTTGGGCAGGTCTCCTGATTTGGACTACATTGGACACCATCTAAGTGCTGTTGCCTTCACCACCGATGATTGGGACTCCCAAAGATTGGGACTCCTTCCTGTGCCAAGGGAGGTAGCCTAGTTTCTTCTCTGGATGATACTGTGTTTCTCTTGCACTGATTCTCTTGTTTTGATTAATTGAGAACATCTCATCAACTGTTATCCTTTGGGCAAGGATGAGAGATTCATGCAGCTAGGTGTGTCTCCAATCCTGTGTGACAGGTATCACTGAAGGAACCAGTGCCTCCTTGGATTATCAGTAGGTGTAACACTCTAGTTTCCTATTGCAGGGTTCCCCTAAAAGGAACAGTATGTATTAATGACTTCATGGGACCTGTCCACCTGGGGTTGGAGCCAGCCTACTCCTCTTGGCTGATCTCCAGCCTCTTAAAGAATGTCTTTCAGATACCTTCTCTCGTTCTGCTCTTAATCTGGTGAATGATCTTAGCAAAACTGCAAGACTGGTAAGTCTTGCCTACAGAGATTATGTGGCAAGATGACTGTTTAATCTCAGTTTCTTCCCTTTGATCCTAGTGGGTTAGGCCCCTTTTCACATGGCCAGTCAAATCGTTTATACCCGGTTACCCATGACTCCAGCTACGTCTGGAAACAAACAGAACAGTGTCCCGGATTGGGGTTACTCTGGTCTAAACTGACGCATGTCAGTTTACATCTGATTCTCCATAAGCAGGGATGGGGCTTGGTATTTGCAATTTTTCCTCCATCGCAAGGTGTCACTGCTGTGACATCTGCTCTATACTGCTGTGATCGGGAGAGGATCCATGCGCAGATCCTCTCCTAATCAGCCAGTGTGAAGAATTTCAACCTTCACATGTTGACCAGCTGGCCTTTCAGGTTGATTCTCTGTGCCCTCCCTCTAGTTGTGATGGCAACTTTTCTTATAGATATACAGAACATCTTATACGGAGCTAAGATTCAGACGTTGATTTGTTCAATCGGCTTCAGGGATGCAGGCAGTCCCTGATTCTCTTCTTGGGCCTATTAGCAATTGTTGTGTTGCCCACCCCTTGGTTAGACTGCTTTTGAACATGCTGACTATATATAAACTCCATGGACTCCAATGAGGGATACAGGTTCCACCCCTTTTGTGCTCATGCTCTTGGTACTGCTTGCTACAAATTCAGACATGCTGGGTAGAGAGATTATCCTGGGGAAGGCTGTACAATTTTTTTTGTTTTTTCTTTGACATTGTCCGTTCTGTTTGCTACTGTCTCCTGTAGGCGGCAGTAAACGGGACTGTCTAGATTTCACTGTCCCTCAATAGACTCCAAAAAAGAATTTTACTACAGCCACAAAAACCTATTTTTCTGTTTTGTGCTAAATTGTCCAAAAGGTGCTATCCTGGCTATAAGCAAGAAGGCAATTGGCAGCAACTGTCAGAGCTCAGGTGATCTTTCACCCGTAACTGTCCGTGCCAAGATTGGCTGGATCTAAAATCCTGAGATCTCACAATGAACGTGTATGCTAGACAGTACAATGTTTTTGATAAGGCAGCTTTAATTCACAGAATGCCTACAGCAGGGCTGATCAGACTGAATAAAGAGGAACAAAGTGCCAAGACAGGCTTATGTCGCTATTGTATAATAAAAGCTGTCCATTATGACTAAATTGTGTACATTTATCATGTTATGTTTTAGAGTGGACAAGAACATGAGCTAATAGAGAGTATGCCTCTACTAGAGTGGTTTGCTAATAACTACAAAAAATTTGGCGCAACACTGGAGATTGTTACAGACAAATCACAAGAAGGATCCCAATTTGTGAAAGGATTTGGTGGCATTGGAGGCAAGTAGAGAATAGAATTATACTGAACATACTGTTGACTGTATTTGTGTTTAAAATTGTAGTGTGTGTGTCATCTGAAGAATTTGGCACTAAATGAATGGGACCTCAGTATCTAGAACTGTGGATGGCTTAGCTTGCGGTATACTGAGCTTTGGGTGATGGGAGGACGCTAGTTTGTGTCCTCCCGTTACCCTTAGGAGAACTATGGGGAAAAGCATTGACCCCATAGTTCTCCTTAACAATTTTTTTAAACAAAACAATATAAAAATACAATACAAAAAAAAACAGGTGTTCTATAACAAACCACTCCCAAAAGGGGAGAAAAAATAATTTTAAAAAACAAACGTCAACAAAATCAATGTTATGATAGATGGATACATAGATATAGTCTTGTATCCTATTAAAGTGCATCTTTAAGATGATAAAAAATTAATCCATGACTAGTACTACAATCAACCGTGTGTGTATATACTATATATAATAAACACCATCTACTGTATAATCAATAATTTTAAAGATCTAAAGTGCTGATCAAACAATCAAATAGTTAATAATTAACAAACAATCATCTTCCTAGGAACGGATTTTTAATTACTAATTAAGTCTATTTTCATAAAAATAAAATTCACACCAACAACCTTCCTTCCATACTTCCCTCTTTCTCCCTCTTTTCTCTCCTTCCCTCTCCTCCTCCTCTTAGATTCCTCTTTTTATAAATTTTTTTAAACATTTAAATATATGACATACAAAACAAAGACAGACACACGACCCCTCAACAGTGCTCCCTGTTTTTTTGATCTCTCTAAGCCTCCTGTTCTCTTTTTTATTAGGTAATTAAGGTTTACACCATAGATGGGCCGAAGCCGGTACTGACAACCAGGGGTCTCATATGCTCTTAAATTTCTGGGGGCACCCTCTATGTATGAAAAGCAATTTATCTTTTAATAGAACCAAGTCAACTTGTTTACACCACTTCTCTATTGTATGTGATCTGGGAGACGTCCATTTAAAAGCAATAAACTTTCTTGCTCTAAACAAGAGTCTCCATAATGTCCTTGGACCCTAGAATCTGTTCTTCCACATAACTTAGACATATTCTAGGGTCCAAGGGCAGCTTTACCCCAAATACTTGATTAATAAAGGAAATTATACCATCCCAATAGCTAAACAATTTGGGGCATCTCCAAAGCATATGAATCAAATTAGCATCCTCACTCCTACATCTAGGACAATCTCCAGTTTCCTGTCTAACCCATCTAAACCTTTTCAAGGGGGTATAGTAAGTATGGTGCCAAATGAATAATTGAGTCAGACATTGACTAGAGGAGAGGGAAGTTTTAAAAGGTGTTCGCTAAAACCTTTACACAACTTTAATGAAAAATGTAACCGCTAATGTATGTATCCAGCAACAAAGTTTGACTGGTACCATGCTTTCAAATTAAATCATTACAACCTTCTGCTTTGAAAATAAATTAGTAGTCATGTGCTGCTGCTGAGACATCCCACTTTGCTTACGTAAGAGTTCAGGGGGCAGAGCTTGAAGCCAAGTTTCAAAGTAATAACCTTGGCCTACACTACCGGGGTCCCAAAAAAGGGAGAAGCAAGACTTATTTGAAGCTCTTAAACTACAATATGATAAATAACATATGGATTATCCTATAGACTGTACACTTTTTGTGCTTTTAATGCTTAAAATGTAACTTGGGATGATTTATGTAAAACTGTGTACAAGACAAACTTGCAGAATTTTGGTTGTCAATTTTAATTATTTCCTTGGGTGATATTGCCTCATGAAAATCTTGTTTGTTGCAGGGATCTTGCGGTACAGAGTAGATTTCCAAGGAATGGATTACCAAGCTAGAGATGATGAATTATTTGACCTCGATGACTACTAGGTAGTCGACATGGGTCTGGCAGTGTGTGCCTAACCCTCCAGCATCCAACCCAAGAAGAAATTTTGTGGTGAAAGACATACATGTCCCTGCCTTAGAATTTGAACATTTCCAGTACTTTGTCTATAAGCATTGGATATGAGAAATAAAATTGTTTTGTCATAATGTAGAGTGAATGCATCTGCAAGGTTCATTCATGTCACCTGGACATGTTTGACAAATCAGTTTTTATCTATGAAATCAGTTGATCTTGTATTCTATTATTTTTTATCTTTATACACAGGCAGATAAAATGCTTCAAATATCCATGCAAATTAACACCATGTTCCTTTTTTTTTCTGCATAATGGGAAAACTTAAATTTTATATTCTGTTTAGATCTTTGGGATAAACAATGGGACAAGCACACAATATAAAGTTTAAAATGTATAGCAGACCTTTACAAAACATATTGTAATATATTTGTGCTACCTAAATTGGAGAAAATACAGTCCACTGACTGTTGGAACCCTTGTAATAAAAAAAAGAAATGTATCTAATGTCCCAAATGCAAAAACAATAACCTGTATCTTTGCATGATGCTGTGCAGCATGAAAGACATTGCAAGTGACAGCACAGAGCATGCAAGCTGCACAGCATTCATTCCTCTCCTTACCTTAATATAGGATATCTGAATCAAATGTCTGATACTGAGCATGGAGAGTATGTATGGTAATCGCCTTTTACAGCCACAGCAGTTTAACAGGGATAAGTTAGCAAAAGAATAACTTAAACGCCTGACATTAATGACTCTTTGAACTGGTTGCTCAGTTTAATTTTATTAATGTATTTTATTGAGTCATTTTTGTGACTTATTATTCCCAAATATAACCATTTATGCTCTTCTTGGTCTGTAACTCCAGTTGTGTTTTGCATGAATTATTTAAAGTTCATATCGTGCTTCCATAAGCAGCTAACACACGGGAAAGTGTGAACATTCTCTTGTAATGTGTAGTTGGGCATTACTTACTGTCCATTACTATATGAGCCTTAAATTCCAAACAAAAAAATGGTGGATTCATATACACTCTGGATGGATAGCCCCTTTCTCTGTTGATGGGCTCTTCTATTTGAGAATTCAATCAACATGATGTAAATTTAGTTCTTTTTTTTAAGTTTATCAGACCTACAGCAAATGTAGATTAACTGTTGGATTTTTGTTTACACAGGAGGTGTTTCTGTCCTGCTTTGATTTTTAACTTGAGAAATGCAGAAAACATTTGGGGGAAGATTTCGACAGAAGTACTAGATGGGTGACCGCATGAGGTGTTACTGAACTCTCAAAAACATAACAATGTGATAAGTTTGCTTCAACAGACACTAAGAAAATGTAACCTTTCATTTGGTGCCTTTTATGGTCTTAAAGCTTTCCATGGAAATACACAATTATTACAACACAATGCTTTCTCACTGGTATTTGTGATTCCATTGCTGCTTTTGCAGTGTTTTCGGTTACAAGAGTATGCACAAGCTTTGCCCAGAGCCCATTACCTGAGCAAAGCCCTGTGGGAGTGCTCTGAGCAGCATTAAGGTGCCCATACACTGCATGATTATCGTACGCGATCGGTTTTTCGTACGATAATCGAGCAGTGTGAACGGAGACGTGCGATCGTTTCTACTCTACGGTCGCACGTCTTCTGTCGAAACCCAGCCGGGAATCGTACGATTCTCGGCTGGTTAGAACGGTGCTCGGAAGACAAATGCCGAACGGGCCGGTGTGCGCACGCGCACACTGCCCGTTCAGCATTGCGGTCATCGGAAGCCCGCCCCTCAGGGGGGCGGGCTTGCGATGATCGAGAGTGCGATCTGCCTGTCCAAGATAGGCAGATCGTACGTTTTTTTTAATCCCTGTACAACCATCGCAAGACTTGCGATGGTTGTAGAGTGTATGGCCACCTTAAGACTGACAAATGCTAAGGGGTTATGCCACCTGGTACTGCTAGCCTGCAGGTGCACTTGCAATTCAGACCATTATCACAAACTGGCAATTGGTGGCACAAAATGCAATTGCAAAGAATTCTTAAGTTTTCAGTGGAAAGACTCAATTGATTCTTAAAGACCATAAAAGGCACCAAATGAAAGGTTACATTTTCTTAGTGTCTGTTGAAGCCGACTTATGTATTGTTGCATGTGATCCTCCGTGTTTAGAGCAGTCTTTCATAGTTTTGCATTTCTCAAGCAGAAAATAGCAATAGTGAAGTGGCATAGAGGAAATCACCTGATGTAAGTCCTTATTTTGGGTTTTTCCCCTTTATGTCTGAAAACATAATGTTTTTGAGAGTTCAGTAACACCTCATGTACCAAGCCTCTCCTGCTAAGCAGGAGAAAACATAAACATGATATATGATTAAAATAACACTGTACACAAAATCATGGTCCCCCCCAAAACTACTCTGTAATACTTATTTTTTAGTTAAAAATAAATTAAGTACTTCAGTGTTATGCTCCTTTGCTTCAGAATTGGTAAACTGCTTGATGCCATTGTAAATGGGTATATTATAGAGATTTAGAAAAAAAATCCATTGGATGTACATTTGCATTGATTTGGGAAGATATTCTTCTTATTCCACAACATTATCAACGCATTAGCCTTTTTCCTTTTTGCTATATTTGGAAATGATGCCAAAATTTTTATATTTCCTTAATGTGTTCTTTTCAGTGGCACATCATATACATATATGTACAAATGAGATGGGGTACAATTCTTAACTTTATCTTCAGATTGAGTGTTCCCAAGCAGTAATAACTTGGTGTTGTGATGTACAGAAATGGAGAAAAGTATTAAACCATATTTAAGAATATTTGTTGTAGTGTTTTCTTTTAATTTAGTCAGTTGTCCTACCTGCTTTCTTCTAGGTTTCTGGTAGGCATTTCTTGCGCCCCCTCTCCCACAACTGCCTACCTCCTCCCACTTGATTGGGACAGGAAATACACAGATTAAAAGCCCCACCCTCATCCCCCTCAGTGCATTTCCTGCCCCTGTCAGCATAGGATGTAAAAAAGATTTTCCCATGTTTTTTTAATTTTATTTATGGGCTACTTGTGGAGTTGTAGGATCTTTCTTTTCAAGATTATACTTGATGGTAGCTATTGTGAGACAGCTATACACCTGAGCTGCAGCCCATGCTTGCTGCTTTAGGCAGCTCAGTTTTTTTGTCTGGCGTCGAGGAGTAAGTGCTCCTGTTGGGATCTTGATTAGTTTTGTTTTATATTTTATTTTTTTTCTGTTCTTCAATCAACGGGCTGGATGTTATAGATCCTGGTCTCCCTATCCTAGATCCTTGTTTCTTGCACCCTCTCACTCTGCCACTTACACCCCCTCGTTCTGCACTCGTGCTGCTGCTACGGCCAGCTGTACGCTCCATATGGTTTTAATATCATGGGGCTCCCTCTTGCTTGTTGGGTTCCCCCTGGTCTTCAGTGTTGGGCTGCACTGCACCCTTTTTGCTCTCTCCATTCCCACGCTGCTGCTAGGGACAGCTGTGCACTACTTGTCTCTCTCCCACTTATGGCACCCCCACTTATGGCCACCTTTATGATGGGATGCTGGAGGTGCTCTTTTTCACTCCCTGGCTGCTTCTGAGGTATGGGAGTTTCCCCCTCCCCCCTCTTGGTTGGTGAAGTGGCTACTTGAGCGGCTGGGCTCTGTGTGTTGCAGGCATGCTCTCTCGGGTGCTGCTGGCTCGACTGGCTTCCCAAGCATCTCTACACACAACACTAAATCTTGTTAAGAATCACATATAGTACATGCCAGGAAACAGCCAAAAGTGCAATCACAAAATGTGTGTCATATTATTGTTGGCAAACTTAGTCTCTTAATATAACAACTATATATAATTGAAGTGCATACAAAATTTTGATGTTGATGTTTATACAAATCATCATCAGTGACAAACCTGTACAAGACAGCAATTAATCAGCTGAAATGCCAAATAAAGTAACTCATAAAACTATAAAATAAAGTGAAATAAATAAAGTAGCACAAAGTCCCAAGATATTGTGGGGAATACAAGTGCAAACAATATATTACACTCCATGCAGTGTTAGTGGTCCTGATTCACCAGCCCCCATAGTCAAACATTTACCAGAAATGTATGCCTGAAAGCACTCAATCAATATCCCCAGACCGTTTGGTGCATATATATATAAATATTTCCAGACTTCAATAGTGAAAAATGTAATCTCCAATGTGAAGTAGCAACATTTCTGTGTCCCTCAAAAGGAAGGAATTGCCCATTGTGAAGCATGACAAATGATTTACTAAAAGTACACTCACATAAAAAATTATTTTAATCAGGCCGGAATGAAAGCAAACGCCTTCTCAAGCTCTCAATTTCTCACAGGAACACCGTCAATAGAACCCGCCCTGACGTGTTTCGTCATCAAAGGATGCAGATCCTATTGAGAGGTGTTCAATAGCCATATACAGTATCTCATAGAAGTGTGTACACCCCTCACATTTTTGTAAATATTTTATATCATTTCATGTGATGACACTGAAGAAATGACAATTTGCTACAATGTAAAGTAGTGAGTGTACAGTTTGTATATCGGTGTACATTTGCTGTCCCCTCAAAATAACACAACACACAGCCATTAATGTCTAAACCGCTGGCAACAAAAGTGAGCACACTGAGTGAAAATGTCCAAATTGGGCCCAAAGTGTCAATGTTTTGTGTGGTCACCATTATTTTCCAGCACTGCATTAACCCTCTTGGGCATGGAGTTCACCAGAGCTTCACAGGTTGCCACTGGACATCACAGATCTGGTGGATGCTAGAGACCTTGCACTCAGCCACCTTCCGTTTGAGGATGCCCCACAGATGCTCAATAGGGTTTAGGTCTGGAGACATGCTTGGCCAGTCCATCACCTTTACCCTCAGGTTCTTTAGCAAGGCAGTGGTCGTCTTGGAGGTATGTTTGGGGTTGTTATCATGTTGGAATACTTCCCTGCGGCCCAGTCTCCGAAGGGAGGGGAATCATGCTCTGTTTCAGTATGTCACAGTACATGTTGGCATTCATGGTTCCCTCAATGAATTATAGCTCCCCAGTGCCGGCAGCACTCATGCAGCCCCAGACCATGACACTCCCACCACCATGCTTGACTGTAGGCAAGACACACTTGTCTTTGTACTCCTCACCTAGTTGCCACCACACACACGCTTGACACCATCTGAACCAAATAAATTTATCTTGGTCTCATCAGACCACAACACATGGTTCCTGTAATCTATGTCCTTAGTCTGCTTGTCTTCAGAAAACTGTGGGCTTTCTTTTGCATCATCTTTAGAAGAGGCTTCCTTCTGGGACGACGCCATGCAGACCAATTTGATGCAGTGTGCGGCTTATGGTCTGAGCACTGACAGACTGACCCCCCCACCCATTTAACCTCTGCAGCAATGCTGGCAGCACTTGTACATCTATTTCCGAAAGACAACCTCTGGATATGACACAGCACGTGCACTCAACTTCTTTGGTCGACCCATGGTGAGGCCTGTTCTGAGTGGAACCTGTCCTGTTAAACCGCTGTATGGTCTTGGCCACCGTGCTGCAGCTCAATTTCAGGGTCTTTGCAATCTTCTTATAGCCTAGGCCATCTTTATGTAGAGCAACAATACAAATAGTACAGTCATTTAATAATTGGTGGCAATAATATACAGCGACTATAATCAGTTGTCACCATAGGTTATACATCATACATACATGATTTATAGCCTACTATTTGTATTAGGGATGCACCGATACCGGTATTTCTGTACCGAGTATGAGTACCGATACTTTTTCCCCGGTACTTGCTGATACAAATTACCGAGTACCGGAAGTCCCATTCATGAAGCCAGGTGGCATGTAATGACGTGCCTCCTGGCTTCCTGATTAGCCGGGCAGCGTGTAAAGACTCGCCACCCGGCTTCCCGATTAACAACAGTCGTCCCATACGATTCCCCATAATAATCATGATCCAGCATGTCTCTGCAGTGCGGATCTCTATCCCCTCTC